CAACTTCCAAATCATGAGAGATTTATCATTCATGAATACTCAAATTCTAACATGGACGGCCTGCTTTTGACTAGACTAGAAAGAAAATTAGTCTAGTCGATGCACATAAGCTGACTTGCACACTTTTCACTGTTGAAAAAAAAAAAGTATATTTCACTAACACCCCTTGAATTTAAGTCAAATTTTACTAACTTCCCTTCTAATTTTTGAAATATTACTATACACCCCATAGTTTATACACACATTTCACAAACTACCCCTATCGTTTAATGTCGTTATTGACAAGCAAAAAATGTGTGATGTGATGACTTATTCTCTTATGAGTTGCCAAAATTACCCTTGGCCATATAAAACAAACTTAAAGTAAAAGAAAATATCATTTTAGTATTAACTTAATTAAATTAAATGCTAATTGGATTAAACATGATGTTTCTATCAAAAACAATTGGATTAAACAAAATGTTAATTTAATGTTAATTTAAAAAAATAATATTAATTTTATAAAACCAAATATTTAATTTAAAAAATTGAATGTTAATTTTATAAAATTGAATGACTATTTAATATTGAATTGATGAAATTAAATGTTAATTTAAAATTCAATCAAAAAAATGATGTTAATTTGATAAATTGGATATTACATTGATAAAATTAAATGTTAATTTGGGATTAATTTGATGAAATTGAATATGGTATTGATTTTATGAGATTAAATGTTAATTTAAAATTCAATTAAAAAATGATGTTAATTTGATAAATTGAATATTTCATTGACAAAATTAAATGTTAATTTGGGGTTAATTTGATGAAATTGAATATTAATTTGGTGTAAAGTTTATAAAATTTAATATCAATTTGATGAAATTGAATGTTAGTTTGCTAAATTAAAATGATAATTTTATAAAATTTAAGATCAATTTAACATTAATTTGGTAAAATTTTGTATTAATTTGATAAAATTTAATGTTAATTTGATAAAATTGATACTTATATTTGGTGTTAATTAGACCAAATTGAATATTAATTTGGTAGTTAATGTAACGTAGTTTAAGGCAGTTTTGATAAAATTGAATGTTAATTTTATGAAATTTAATATTAATTTGGTATTTTTTTAATAAAATTGAATGTTAATTGGATGAATTGAATGCTAATTTGATGAATTTAAATGTTAATTTGATAAAATTTAATGTTAATTTTGTGCTAATTTGATGAAATTAAATATTAACTTGGTTTTAATTTGATAAAATTAAATATTAATTGGATATAATTTAATATTAATCAAACAAAATTAAAGGTCAATTTGATCTTAATTTGATAAAATTATAGATTAATTTTGTATTAATTTGATACATTTATTTTAATAATGATAATATTTGAAAATGAACATTTAAATTCTTCCAGTAAAAAAAAAGTTTGTGACCATGGTTAGGTTGAATATTGGATAAAACGTAAAACAAAATAAAAATATAAGTATAAAATCGAATAACCACTACTGTAAAATGGGAGTTCTAACAAGGGTAATTAAGTAAAATCACATTCTCTGTTAGGTAGGTTAATGGATGAAAAGCTGACAGGGGTATGTAGTGATATTTCAAAAATCATAGGGGGTGTCAATAAAATATAACTTAAATCCACGAGGTGTTAGTGAAATTTATTCAAAAGAAAAAACATTGGAAAACTGCCTAAAAGTATTTAGGTGGTGTTTGGATCACCATGGGAGGATTGTATTAGATTGGATTTGAATCCGAACTCAATCCAACCCAATGCAAAGTGGTCCAACTTGGAAGATTATAAAGTTTAGATTCAAATCATATCTCATCTTAGGATAGGTTTCATTTGGTTTGTGGGCCTCATTCACATGTGAAGATAAAACATACTAAAATAACCATTACATTATTTTGTAAAAAAGTGTTATCCAATCTTATATTATGTTTGGAATGGAATGAAAAAAAATCCAATCCATTAATATTGTCTTATTTAGGAAAAAAAAATATGAATAAAAAAAATAACGCATTTTTACAAAATATTGCAATAAATTTTTTGCTCATTTATTTAATTTAATTTGTACAATACACTTTTAATCACAAAAATCATATGCATCATGCAAAAACAAAAAAATTCCAACACAAATCGATACAACTCATGTCTAAATCGTTAAAAATAAAAATTAATAATTTTTTTTTCAATAAATAGCAAAATTAATCCAAACCATATTAAATTTTTTCAATGACCCAAATATAATTTATTTTCCATGAATTTTAGGGCATTTTAATATTATTACTTGAATTAATAGCACAAATCAAGTCAATTTAAAATATGTCATTTTAATTAAAATGTTAATTTTTTTTAGAGTTCATCTATAATGAAACAAATTGATGAGTATAAAATTTTTAAGATCTTAAAATTTAAGATGTAATGAGACCCAATATCATAAAACAAATGTGATTTTTTAATGAGATCCAAACCCTTTCATTCAAAGTTGAATTAGACTGAATATTTTCACACACTTACTCTCAAATCATGTGCTTGCATGCTACATTATATCAATTGAGGGAGAATTTCTAACGGTAGTAATTTAGTTCAAAAGTATAAGAGTGTTATGTGCTAATTTCTGAACATAAGGAGTAAAGTGCAAAAAAATCAAACCACTAGGGTATAAATTGGATTTTAATTTGGTTAAATTACTCATCTTTCCCTGCTGCAGCATTAGACACAGGGAAAAAGCGAGACAGAGAAACAGAGAAGCATCTGGAAAATGACCGAAGATAAATTTTTCCAGATGGAAAAACTATCAGGCTACTTGGCAGTTGGGAGTAAATGAGCGAAGAACCTTGTCAACCTTCACCTTAATCTTTGTTCAAGTCAAACGGTACTATATAGGAAAGAATGGAAGGACGGAGACAAACCCCAATGGAGCTTCGGATTCAACCATTGACAAAAGTCTCTGTTAGTGTGTGGCCAAGCGACGACTACTCCGATTTCTTCAATGTCCAATCGTCAAAACTCAGGTTTTAAATTTCGTTGATTGTCTCAGATGACGGGTTCGATTTTCTTTCTCCATTTCCGAAAAACCCAGATGCCTTCCCAAGAAATCATTTTCATCGTCTTCGAATTCATCTCCAACTTCTACTGTAGAGGGCATTTTAGATTTTAGCCATTTAATCTTACTCCTCAATTCAACAACCCCTCGTAGCAGAAGAGATTGTTGAATCACCTGGGATTCTTTGCTTCAAAATATACGGCCGATTTTTTCAAAACCAACGGAAATTCAACCCAAACAACTTACTCTAACCAAAGATAAATAGACTTCATTCACAATTTTAATCCACATCCCCCAATAATACCCCTAATCCTGTCATCCAAACACCACCTTAGGTAATGTTTTGACAGAGGGATAAGATGGGTTAACACCGTCAACGATAAATTAACAATGACATGGGCCTCACATATTGGAAGTTAAAATTGAGTCGAGATATAAATCTCGGGTCAAATTTTGACCCGGTTGTTACAGTGCATTTTAACCTCCTACGCCGGTTAAATGTAATCCACTTCCCCCTTGGGTTACAAACCCACCTGAATAGGATATAGGGGTAAAATTTTCATTTTGCCCTTGTTTTCCAGACGCCAAGGAATGCTGTAGATGGCAGAGAACCGCAACCCTTCCCCTCCACTTGTCCATCTTCGATTAAAAAAAAAAGAAGAATCTCCTTCCTCTGTCTTATGTGCGGAGAAGAAGGGACTCCTTCATTGAAGGCAAAAAAGGGGAACGCATAGAAGAGAGGAAGATCTGTGTTTGCTTGAATATTATTCTCTTCATCTTTAAGGAGGAATTATTTGTTTGAAATATTATCTGTTGAACCCCAAGCCCTTAACATCTGATATGTAATTTCGGTATACAAATTATCGGTGTCTTATTCTTTTTCTTTCTATCTCTTCCATTTAAAATTTGATCTGCTTCTGTCTCTTTCTAAAGTCTCTCTTATTCTAGGTTATTGTGTATTGGTGATATGAAGAAGTTGAGAAATGGTGAGTTTTTTGGGTATTCAGATCTCTATATGTGTCAAGAATTATATAAACTTATTAAACAAAAAAGATGATAAGGAAATTGGCTAAAGAACCTAAACAGTAAAGTGTATGGTATTTTATATGCACCGTTTCATCCATACCAAGAAGTTTTTACTTTTCATTTGTATAACTTTAAAGTTTCAAATCTCCGAGCTTCAATTTTCTCATACAATTGTCCACAAAATGAGTAGATCTCTCTTCTCTCTCTCTCTCTCACAGGTGTTTAATGGGTGAACACGAAGCACCAATTTTTTTTTTGGAATTGAACACCTCAGATTTGGGTCTTCATGTTACCGGAGCTTTAAAAAATTATGAAAATAAATAAATATGTAATTAAAAATAAAAAAATATCACTGAATTTCTTTCTCCAACACAGCACAAGGGGTCCGGATATTTCTGATGTATGCACTACTTTTCTTGAATTGGATATGCCAATGGGTATAATAGTAAATATTTTTTAAGGGGCGTTTTGTTTTGGGTATTATAGTGGTACAAGGAGGTGGTATTAGGAAAATAGTACGTGAGATTCATCTTATACGTTGTTTGTTTGATATTTTATATCAGTACTATTTTTCGGATCGTAATACCGATCCGCTATGAACAGTAGCTATAATGGCTGATAGAAGGTTTTAATGAATACCACTAGGGGGTGGTATTATATTTTTGATGTATGTATTATAAACTAAAAAGCTCGAAATGTCTTCTACTATAATTTTCATATAAAAGTCTAGCCGTAATTTTTGATTTTTTAAAGGTTAAAATTGTCTTTTACATTGGTTAGTTGTAATTGTTGATTTTTTTAAGTAGATATTACACAGATAATATTTGTGATAAACAAACAAGGAGAATGATGAGATTATTGTTTATCGGATATAATATATTATTGAATTAAAATAAAATAAATATAAAATTTTATAGCACTTAAATTTTATACTCGAAAAAACATGCGCCCTAAAGTAAGGTGAGATTCATCCGATTCAATTGTTTCTCGCCGAACAATGATTTAGATCGGAAGACATACATTTCACGTTCAATTAAGTGTCTGAGTGAGTTTCAACAGGATGGGTTAAGATAAACAAATCTAATCCATTCCTATTCTTGTCGGTTCAACGGAAAGAAAACCCACTCTCTCCTCTCTCTCTCTCTCTCTCTCTCTCCATGTGCGTCAGTGTCTGTCTATTTGTGGATTTGGGTACAGTTGTACTGGTGTAGGCAGCTGAGCGGATGGTCGGATCAGCTCAGCCGTCCAGCTTTCCATTTCCCATTTGCGCAGTGGGTCCCACAACCACCCACTTTATAACCACAGCCGCCGCTCTCCGCCTCGGCCACTTCCTCCACAGCCGCTTCATTAGCAACAGCCTTCACTTAGGAATTCTCAGCCACTCATTCTTCAAGGTAATCTACTTCCTTCAAAAAAGAACCCACCCTATATCTCAGATATTTGATTTGATTGGTACAATTATGAAGTAGTGATGTTCTGATGAACTGTTTGTTGTTCTTTTGTTTTGAATTTTTGTAATTGGTGATAGTTTTGAATTGCTGCTTGTTGTATGGTAGATACGAATTTGGTCAAGTGAACGGAATTTGATATGTAATCATTCATTCTGTTTGTACAGCGATTCCTTTTAGATGCTGCAATATGATTTATAGGTCATACACAGGAAATACTATCAGAAAAATAAAAGAAAAAAGTTATGTTGACATTGTACTGGACTAACCCCCAAATACAGTGAGTTTTCAAAATCATACCAGGTTTTGGTTTGGGTTTTGTTTTAAACAATTTGAGGGGCTGTTGGTAATAATTAAGTAAAGACATGAATGTGGGTAATCTTTCCTTGTTCTTCCTAGATATGAGGAATTATTATAGTGAAGTGAAACTTTTGAACCAAAAAGAAAGCAGTTCAGATAGTGTCACATTTGAAGAAAAAGCAGTGAACATATTGAACAATGGCAAGGAATGTGGAAGACAACAATGGCAAGGGGCAAAAGACAAGAAAAAGAAGAATCGAGAAAATATTTTAGTGAACCATCATACTTGAGATACACAATATTTACAATATGCTGCAGACAATATAGAATAATTGCATATACAGATTCGATGGTGAAAATCGTTGCAATTGTGTTTAAGAGTACAAAAACTATGCCTTGACTTTGAATTAGAGTCCACATTAGTCCCATAAGTACTTTTGCTCCAATTCCAATTCGTAAGCATGAATTCCATGCTCTCAAACAGTGTAAGTCACACTCTGCCCGTTCTTGATGAGACTTTATTGCATTTGGTCACGTAACGCAAATGTTGAATGCAATGGGAGAGCATTTAAATAAACAAGCCAAACATCTAGGAAAGAAACTAGCTCAATTAGCATTATTGTAACACTTTTCGTCATCACAGATGGGTATGTCATGGTTTAGAGTTTGAAAAGTCCTTCACCTGTGATTTTGCTTGTTCAACAGAATATCTCTCCTCTTCGTCATGTGCCTGCGATAAAGGATGTATGGCATGAAAGAGCTCTTAAATTTGGAGGCTGTAATTTTCTTCAATGGTCATTATATGATGCTTCCTTTTCCACGTGCTCGTCTTGCTTATGTTTCTTTAGTGGAGAAGAAAGTAGAAATGACTCCACCAACATTGGAAAGACATACTCAGATGCATCTAGAAGAGTCTCATCTGATGGAAGACAATGGACCAATGTCCTACTTGCAATTAATGTTTTGTGAGTATCACCTTCTGCAAATGAAAAAATAAATAAAATCATCATAATATTGTGTTCTTTGAGGATCAATATATTGAATAGGTGTCATTCTCTCTCTTTCTCTCTCTGCTTCCCTTACGTTTTGGCTTCCTAAGCATTCTTAATGTCGACCGGTGACAGTCTTGTGTCCATTGGTTTTAATGTGCAGAGCCTATATTGCACAATTTGCAACACAAGGGAAGCTATTCTACTGGGGAGCCAAGGTCAGCCTTTGTGAAAATAAACTCTGTCCATCCCATATTTATAAGCCACTTCTCCATTCTGGAAGTCTACAAAATAATTGTTCACCTTGAAAAGTCGATGTAACAGATTTGTTGATTTCTGAATTTATTTTATTGAACCAATTTTGAAAGGATGAAAAATTCTGAAAAGTTCTTATCCATGTGAATATGTATTTTTTTGTAAGGGTAGTTATGGAATCATACATCTTTTCACTTGGGTTAAGTGCATGTCCCCTTAAAAGGCTGGTGTAGCAAGAAGGGACTATGAGGAGAGGGAGTAAATATAAAAGTGGAGACATATCTTTACTTCCATATTAGAGACTTATATTTTGTGGCCTCATGTCCCTTGGTTAATATGCATCTGCAGATCAATAGTCTTATAGACAAAGGACAGTTGTGGAGGCTAGCCACATCTTCCTTTCTGCATGCAAATCTTGGGCATCTCATGGTCTGGTTTGAATGTTACTTCTCGAAAAATTGTTTCTTGGTTGATTTGCATTTGCTGGTATGTAAAAAGGATTTTGACCTTTCCAGGTCAATTGTTATTCCCTAAACTCCATTGGCCCTGCTGTGGAGAATATCGGTGGTCCCAGAAGATATCTTGCAGTTTATATCATCTCTGCAGTTACAGGTAACAGATCGTAATCCCACAACAATAACCAATTTATTGCTTGTTTTCAAAGAAACAACTCCCGCTTACTGTCATTCTGATTTGGTAGTTTCTTAAAAATCAGGTTCAGCAATGAGCTATTGGTTCAACAAAGCACCTGCAGTCGGTGCATCAGGAGCAATTTTTGGATTAGTAAGTTCTTCATTTCTACAATCCCAATTTTTCTTGACCTTCTAAGTTTATATGTATATTATATGTTCCCCAAAATGTCAGACGACAATATCGAGCACTCACATTGTCACCTATAAAAATATTTTCTCTTGAATTGATGACCATATACAGCTTTGCAAGAGCAACCCATCTGCAATTTATTTTGGAATCTTAGAATGTGGTTATTTATATTACCCTTTTCTTCTCGCAATCCTTTGCATATGTTGGGACCTCACCATACTCTAACTATAAGCGAGGGGGCTGGGGCTGGGGCTGGGGCTGACTTTGAAATAAGCCTCATTCGGATTTGAGACAGAATTTACCTTAATGAGATTGAATTTTGTGGCACGAGTCTCAAGGATAAATTGCTTAGTACCTATTATTACCTGGGATTCAGAATGCTTTCGGACTTGTGACTAATCACATAGTGAGCTTATACGTGTCTATAAAAGGAGACAAATTTGAAAATTGTCGTTTAGTATTCCTGTTGTTCTCATCTTTCATCCTTTATTTTTATAATCATATGTTTGGTGTGTGACAGGTTGGATCTTTTGCTGTGTTTGTCTTGAGGCACAGAGGAATGGTTAAAGACAGCAAGGGAGACCTACAGCATATTGCCCGCGTGCTTATCTTAAATATGGTGTGCCCCCTTAGATCCCCCTAGGATTGAAAAGCCCTGCAATTTATAGTGAAAATTCCATGGTTAAATTTATAGTGGCTCAGCCATCCCTTATTTTCAACATTATCATAGTTTGAAAATTGAAAGTGGAATGCATGTGGCCTAATTTTCTTTTTGATTACTTTTTATTCCACCAATTACGTATGTCCTTGAGTTTGGTTTTCTCTTGGAAACAGCTTTATTGTTGTCAAATCAAAATACTTAGAAACAATGTTGATTGTTGTGATCTTTGTATGTCTTTCAGGGTATTGGGCTTATTTCTAGAGGCATTGATAACTGGGGACATGTAAGTATGGCAGCTGTTTATTTTCTGTATTCTAATTATTTTATGATTTTTATGATGTTCCTCTTTCCAAAACTCAATCCATTTGAATCAATAAGCTTATCATAAGAAAATATCCAGTACCTAGGTCCTGGCATCTTTGGTGTACAGTGTACACTTGTGAATTTTGAAAAACAAGGGTGAACTGTGCTAATTAAACTACAGAAATTTTTGACGGGCACCACATAGTGGTTTTGGGTAAACTACTGTCATTCAAGTAAACCATGGCTTTCTTTCACTATTGTTATTATCATTTTTAATGGGCTCGTTGCCAAATTAGAAGTGTTGGCAGCTATATACAGTTGTTCTCTCTCTCTGGGGTGAGGCATAAATCGCTTTAGTTGTTTACTATCACCTTTTATCATCTGTTTTTTGGTTGGATGTGATTGTTTTGATTTGGCTTCAAAAATTTCAGCTAGGAGGCCTAATAGGTGGAGCTGCTGCATCATGGTTTCTTGGTCCTGCATGGAGGTACGAGTCCCTGTCCAGTGATGGGCGAAGAGTGTTTGCTGACAGGGCACCAATTTTCTCCCTAATTAATAGAAAAAGAGCACCTCGATAGTACAACTTCCCATAGTATCTGGGTGTTGTTCGGAGAACTTGACTGAAGATAAGGCTCACTCATTTCATCCGCTTATGATTTGGACAGTCATTTACTTCTGAATTGGTTCCAATATGTATAGGGTTGAGCTAAAAAAACAAGTATTTTTTCAAAATGACTTTGTCTAGCTTCTTTGTAAGACAATTATTAGGTGGAACCTGAACTGAACCGAACAGGTCCTTTTCCTCTCTCTGACGAAGAAGCCGAGATGTGGCTTTAAATTATATTTTTGTAAAATAGTTGTGTAATTTGAATTGAACTTGTAAATTGTATTAAGATGAACACACACACATGCATGCGTGTATACATGGCCACGCGCATGTGCACACAACAAAAATTAACTTGGGTCCACCTCAGTGAACTCCCAGTACAATTTTTTTTGAATCCACTCGCTTTCTAAGCTGTAGTTTTGAAGGCAGTCTTAGGAGGGGGCTACCAAGGATAGGGCATTGTCATTACAAGGAGTTTTGGGGGTGTATTGATTTTCGATTTCATGTGAGTAGACCAGGTACCAACAAAGGAGTCACCAGATTTGCTGCACAGCTTGCTGTCAAGACTATATCAATGGCTGAAGACTCCACTTTTCTCCTGCATAAGATATGTTTGAGAAAAAGGGTTCCAAGAGAAATTCTCCTCAACATCTCGAAAATTCTGGAGTTATTTACATAGGGTTCCTCGAGTTCGGTTCACATGATTGCAAGTTTTCACTAAGCCGAGCTCTAGCAAGAATATAAACTTGGTAGTTGAACTTGATCAATCGTAATCAAATAAGAGTATACTAAAGTTTGACAAGTTCAATTCAATTACAACCCCTATATCCAAATGAAATATGGCTGTCATTAGAATTGTTTCAAGAGAGATTTAATTTGATTCACCACAAATCTTTTGACTCTTGAATATCCATGCATGAATGATAAAGCCATTTCGAGTTTGCAAGTCTTTAATATACTGCATTTGCCTGCACCAAGTTGATGTCACAGTGATGCCCCACTGGTTCAGCAAGGTTAGCTCAATGAGTGATCAGCATATAATCATCCTACCACGAGCCAAGGGTTTTTTTTTGGTCAGGCACTATTAGAAGGAGTAAGTAAGTATAACGAAATTCGAATTCACGACCATAAAGTCGAACAACAGAGATGGTGACCACTAGGCCAAGCACAAACCTCCACCACAAACCATGCAAAAGAATTAAAAAGAGAAGACCATAAGACTACTGAAGGCTCTAAATACTGTATGTAATTTCATCAAAATATAGAGTAAACTACACATATGCTCATCAAATTATGACGTTAGTGTCAATTAAACCCCCGAACTATTTTTTGTGTCAATTCAATCCATAAATTCTCTAATTCCGTCAAACTATGTTTTTGAGTGAAAAAAAAATTTATGATCAATTTTATACCATTGGATCAAAGTAGATAAAGATTTGATCAATCTTGACCATAATTATATTTTTATAAGTTGATAATTCAACTTAGTAACTATAATATTAGGTGATTGTTCGGGCCAAATCAATAATAAATGATATCATTATATAACCACATTTGACTTGCAAATAGAATTAAGCGAGGATGATTGAATTGATAAGCCATGATGGGCCCATTAGGAGAAAAATGAATTCAAATTATCACATTTTTAAAATTTTTTACTAAAAAAATTTACTTTGTTAATGTAAATAGACCCTTTATTTGTAAGGACGGGACTATTTTCACCTACAAATCTTCATTTTCATCCTACTTAATTTTTCATTTCAAACTACTAAATTCACCTTTCTATACCTACTTTATTAGTAACTAAATCTACCTCCATACTATATACACCATATTAATAGTTAAACTCACTCATTTATGCACACCCTTTTAATGAAATAAGTTATGGTAAAAAAAAATAATGAAAGAAGACAGTTAGTTTGAATGCATAAATATATTTACGAAATAAAAAAAAAGAACTAAGCAAAACTGAAACAAAATAATAATAATAATAAATGAAACCAGTAAAAAAACTCAAGCATGCTGAAATAAGACAAAAAGAAATGAACGAAAAAAGAAAAAAAAAAAAAAAAGAAGCAAACCGAAATAAGAAAAAAGAAAAGAACAAAATAAGAAATAAACAGAAAGAAAGAAGCAAACTGTAACAAGAAAAAAAAAACTAAGCAGAGATTAAAGAAACAAGCGAAACTACAAGACGCAAAACCAAATATGAAAAAAAAAATTAGCATAAAGCACAGATACAAAATCGAATAAGAAAAAAAAATAACAAGTATAGATGCAAAATCTTAACAAGATAAAAAGGAATAAGTAATATGAAATCATAAATATATATACACGCGTATAAATTCTAAATAAAAAATTATTAAACTTTATAGAGATATCAAAGCATATTAAAAATAATGAAAATCCATATAACAAATATGAAATCAAACATAAAATTAAATTAAGAAATAATACTAAACTCTATCTCACAAAAAAAATTCATATTGAAAAAGTGTTTTTATGAGTGCACGGGATGAGATAGAGAATAAAACTTTAATTATGACAAAATATAAAATGAGTTTATTTATTAAAAGGAGTGTATGCAGTATGAGGTGGGCTTAGTTAGTAATAAAATTGGTATAGAAGGGATGAATTTAGTAATTTGATAATAAAAAAATAAATGGGATGAAAATGGAGATTTATGAAGTGAGAATAGGCTTACCCTATTTGTAATTGTATTCCTTAACCATATATAGGCAGTGATATAACTTTGAATAAAATTGAGAAAAATAATAGTGAGGGTTGTTTATGAAAAAATGTCCAAATATGACTATGAGTAAACGTGTTAAATACGCCTGTCAATGTATCAAAAATTTTAAATCTTATTAGTCATATATGAATTAATATTTTTTTACCAATAATTCAAATTCAAATTTGATCTTAATATCTTTTACCTATATCTGATTCGATTCGAATTTATTTATGTATTTTTATGTAACTATTAAAGAAATTAAGTGATTGTTTAAAAAAATTAGTTGAAATTTTAGTTATAATTTGTTAAAATTTAGTACATTAAGTTATTCGGTTCAAATCAGATTTCAGATTATTAGCAGATTCGGATATGAACCAAGAAAATAAAAATCGTCGAACTATCAACTTGGAATCGAATTCGGATCAATCGAAATTCGAACTTAATATGATATGATTCGTTAATTACAGATTAATAAATGAATTAAGTATAAATACATAATTTTTTTTTCAAGGCCGGCGTGACAGTCTAAATATGTGGGAGAGGACTAATAAAAAGGCTCCAATGTTTGAAACCTTGCAAGATTTGACGAGGTTAGATTTGGACTCAAATTGTGAAAACGGTCGAAAATTCAAAAAAGTTCAAAAACAAAGCGGGTGTTTGCGTTCATGAGATTGGGATTTGGGAGGGCAGGGGAGGGTTCAGCAAAACATTCAGCAAAGTACAACCCACTCTCTCTTCTCTCTTTGAAATTTGAAACACTGTCGACCCTCCTCCTTATATACACGCCGCCTCTCTCTCTCTCTCTACCCCCCTCCCTCGCCAAGAAATCATAGCTGAACACTCACCAAATTCTTGGTCGTTCCTCGTGTTGAAGACTTTCCACAAATCTTGATTGTAAGCTATTTTAACCTCGATCCACCTGTTCAATGCACGCACCAACAATTTATTTTCGATGCTTCCATGAACATAGAGTTTTAGTACTGTTTATAAATCATGTGAATTTTTCTCAATCTGTTAGGTTCTACTGCATTGTTTACATGTGTTCTGCTTAGTTTTTCTCTATCTCGTGCTCAGCTTTCTCACTTCTAATATCTCTCAATCTATGTTTGCACATTGTGGTCGATATCTTCTTGCTTTCGTAGTAAATAGAAGTCAATTTTCCCATCTGGGTTCTACTATGAACTATATTTGTCAGATTTTGTGTGTTTGTGGGTTCATCAAATCTCCTATTATGGAGAAGGGATGCATTTTGAATAATGCCGCTGTGATTTCATTGATAAACATATCGTATTTCAATCTACTTTGGTATAAATTCTGGGGAATATATAGAATCTCCCCGGCTGCTATAAATTTCATTCAGCTACATATGAACTTGTAATTGACTCGATGTTTGGTTTTTCTGCTTTCCCCTTTTGCTATTGTCTGGATTCTTCTTGTATGTTTAGTGAATTTAGTAGCTTATTAAAATTATTTTGACTTAGCTAAACTTTATTTGCTCTTAAGCAATTTGTCAAATATAAAGCATGTTATATAAATTTCATTTTACCTGACTGCCCAAATGTGTTTTATTTTATGCGAAGTTGCAATGATTGATTAATACATGATCCGCCGTGCTAAGTTGCTTACGCCTGGAAATTTTCTTGCGTGATATTTCCAATTGACCATTACCTGTTTGATTGTTGTCCTCAGAAAATGGATTCCCTGCCTGATGCCATTATCCACTATATCTTGTCTCACATCAACAATGCTAAGGATGTGGCATCTTGTACTTGTGTCTCCAAGAAATGGAAAGATTCAATGCCATATCTTAGGAGCCTTTACTTCCCTCGCAACATTTTTGATAACCTCACTGGTGGGGACACTCCTGACAGCATTGTGAGGCATATTATTTCTTCAATTGTTCGATTAGAAGAACTTGTCGTTTATTGCCCTTTCTCCAGTGCCGGCCTTGAATCATGGCTATCATTCCTGGGACCATCTTTAAGGAACCTTGAACTCCGAATGGACAACATTGTTGAACATCAATCCTGTATGGACAGACCTTCAAAATTGGATTGCATTAGAGCTGCTTGGAATGTGGAGTCTCTAAAGCTTTGGGGTGTGTTAGTGACCCATTCCCCCAAATGGGATGCCTTTCTAAAACTCCAAGAACTTCAAATAGTTGGAGCAAGATTGGAGGATACTGCATTGTCGGATGTGCTTTGTGCATGTCCTAATTTGAAAAGCCTGTTGCTACTTGGTTGTGAGGGGTTGAGATCTGTTTCTATTGAGCTCCCCCATCTGAAGCAGTGTAAGCTTGATTTTTATGGCTTGGGTAATTCTTTACTTTCTCTCACGGCTGCAAAGCTAGAAATCCTTGAGGTACAAGGTTGTAGTTGGATTAGGGTTCATGAGACCCGATGCTTGAGGATTCTTTCCATTTCCAACAACTCTGGTAAAAGTTTTCACTTGAAAATCACTACTAGTTCATTTTTATTTGCACGTAATTTTAGCATCTCTCTCAAAGCTGCTACAGGATTTCAAATCTTACCATATTTATTTCTTGCTTGCAATTCCATCAGGGCGAGTTAACATTGTGGATTTTGGGAGACTTGTGGCTCTTGAGTCCTTGTCCATTAGAGGGGTCCAGTGGTGTTGGGATGCAATAAGCAAAATGCTTCAAATGGCGAGCCAGGTGAAGCATCTCTATATGAAGGTGGAATTCACTGGGGATTTTGAAGCCCTTCTACCCTTTCCAGAGATTGATTTCGTTGACTTCTTTAACTGCCATCCAAAGCTGCAAAAGTTTGACGCCCATGGTGCCATGTTTGCTGCTCTTTGCCAGAAGAACAGCCTTAAAAATGTGAGGCCATATTTTGATCAGAGTCATCAAACTCTATTTGATTTGCTAAATGATGATCATTTAGAATTCATATTGAACAAAGACACACATTTCCTCGTTTTGTAGGTGGATTCAAAGTTTGTGATTCCTTCACTGGAGGAAGTGGTGGTCACAGTGAGATCACCATTGAATGCTGAGCAGAAAATGAGTACTCTTGAGTCATTGCTCAAGTATGGAAAACATCTAAAGAAGATGAGAATAAAGATTCTTCAAATGAAAAGCAGCCATAGCAGTGCAGATGATTTCTTTGAGGAGATTTGCTGGTTTAGACACACGAATCGTAAGATTGTTTCAATTGAATAACAACTCATTGGGCATTTTTTTCCCTGATTCATTAGCTTTCTATTGTAAGTCACTCTGTTCTTCAGACTGGAGGAAGTTGTGCTTTTCTGTATCAGACATGATCATTCTTGGACAATTTTTGTCATAAACATGCTTACATATCTCTTTTTGCTCCTTAATTTGGATTAAGTTGCCGCTCAATTTACTATTTAATTTGAACTTCCAAAGTATGTGAAATTTGCTTGAATGCTACATTGTGCCAATCGTTCGAAAAGGAATTTGAACTTACCAACCAATAGATCTTTTGATACAACGATTGTGTCATGAGTCATCCCTGCAATCTAGATATATCTTGGTTATCACCTTTGAAACTCTTGTTTGTAAGGGTTGTTTTCCTTTCATTTTTGGCTAAGGCAAGAATATATACAACGCAAGGTCATGAAGGGTGAAGAGGAATTAGAAGACATCCATCAAACTTGAGTAATGCTATATTCAGTTGATTAGTTATTTTCACTTGTTGATATTATGTGACAATACCGATTAAAGAATAATATTATGAGCCAATAGCGGAAGAGTTTGAAAATTGGATCCACCAAGAATGGCATCTTATTTACATGTCAATTATCACATCTCCTAGTAAAAGAATCGAGTTTAAGAGTTTCTACAATATTTTTTTATCGTGTTAGCAAGTGAAATTTTAACTAAATTTATCAACCATTAAATTTTAGTCAAAATACTACTACCACTGAAAGATGTCGGTTTCAATCATAGACCATGAACACCATCACCAACAACAACAGGGTTGTGCCCATAAAATTCCAGGAATTACATCATATGGGGCAATTCCCAACAGTAGGGACCTCTGATTTCAGAGTGCTAATAACAGCTTTAAAAAATGCTCTCTTCTCGAAAGCCAAAGAGCAGCTAAACTAAGTAACTTGTTAAGAGATTAGACGACAATTGAAAGAATTGCTCAAAAGTCCCGTGTTTTCTAGTGTTATTCTAAAACTAATAAAGAAAAGGAAGAAGTCCCAGCCGTTATGCAGGTTTGATACTGAGAAACCAACCCAATTTAAACAGTTCCAATGTTATGTTTAGTGTCTTAGCCGAGGGCTTCCACAAGCCAATAACTAGTCTGCACCAATATTTTGTGTCGCACACCCCCCCCCCTCTTTTGGTGCACACCTTACAACACACACGCACGCACACGTGTGGCCACCTTGAGAGAGAGAGAGAGAGACATAAGAGGCAACACAATTGAGTTAGACCTTGCTTAACTGGTTCTCATCTAAACAGTAAAAGCAGGATACTGAACTCATGGCACCAAAGTTTTCCTTCTGCAAAATTTAAAGGAAAAAAAATATTGATATCATCTGCTCTCTTGCAATATAATTAAATTAACAAAACCTAAATTAGCTTCTTCTTTCGGAAAAATCGCTTCAAGTGCAATAACTGAACAACTGAAACCCCAATGCAGACCCCCAAGGACATGACACTGAGCCATGCCACCCTAGAATTTGTTTTTGCACTCATTGTCCTCAACTCTGCTTCTCTGTAAAAATTATACCCTCAAAAGAATTACCAGAAAAGAAAAAGAATACACATAAATCAAAATAGAAGCATTTCAGCCATACCAATCAATTACCTGTTTTTAAGGTAGAGTAGGTTTTCATGGATGGATTGTACTACCCCTTCAAGCTTTCTCAGCTCAAGCTCAACACCCTATACATGGTAATAAAGACATGGCAATGAATAATAGTAGAAGCACACAGATATGTTCAAAATTCTCTACCACCAAGCAATTCAACTAAGTTCCACAAACTTGATACCTGTTCATGATTACAAGTTACAACCCGTTGAGTCCTCTTTCAGGATCAGAATAGTAATAGAGATTCAAAATCATATACCAGATACCAATAATCTTTTTGGATGCAAACCTTGTCAAAGTGATGATAAACATGAACACTTTTACGAAGGTGACGTATTAGTGTCGGACATGGACATTGTCCGACACATCTTTGATATTGTTTTATTCGTGTCCATAATTAAATGATAAAAATTTAAGTTCACACATTCAATACTGCTTTATTAATGTATCCGATACATTTTCAAGTCGTATCTGCTATTAAAATATATACTTGGGTTAACACGTAATTAACAAAACCAAAAAAATTTGACAAATGACTTTCTTGCACAAAGTGACAAATGGCTAATTTATTTTGTGCATGAATATTTAATCGCTAAGACTAATCATGTTCAAGTTGCACTTCAAATTGACAACATGAGAACTAGAACTATCAATAATAATTATATATGTTTGCTAAAAAAGTATCTAGAAAAAAAATAGATACTATGATTTTGTTGTCTGAAAATCCACTATAGTTTACTAAGCATAAGAGCATTTGTGAGGGGCTAGTTATTTTATATATGTTAGCTAAAATAAAGAGTAAAATCATAAAATCTTATTCCAAGGGAGTAGCTATTTGACTAACTATTTTATATTTGGGATAAATGACTCTACATTTAGAGAGCCTCTTTGACTAGCTATTTTATATTTGAAGAGCCAAATCACTCTTTTTGCACTTTAAGGGGCTAACTATTTTATATTTTGATGATATGTCAAGCTATGCAATAATTTTGACTTAAAATGTTAATAATAGTTAGCTAAAATAGAAAGCATGGTTGGAGTAACTTTATAAAAGTAATTCTTTAAAATAAAAAATATAATATTTTAATATATTTTGAATAACTATTTTGAAGAGCGTCCTTAGAGATGCTAAAACATAAGACTTACTTGTCATCTAGGAAGCATGGATATGGATACAAGTGTTGTGTCTGAAACGATATGACACATGGAAATACGGCAAAATTCAAAAATATTAGATACAGGTACAACAAAGACACGACTATTAAAAATAAAGTGTATATTATAACAATATTAACAATAAGACCTATCAAATATTAATTTTTTGATTAAAATTGAAATAAATCAAAATAAATATCCACAATTTTCATAAAAATTCATTACATCTATTAACATTTATAATATATAAATTACATACAAAAAATGTATTTAAAAAAAATAGAAATCACACCCCTTTTATAGTTAACAGTCGTTTTAACAAAAACAATAATATTTCTAGCCGTGTCCTTGTCATGGGTGACTGAGTTCACTATTTAGGACACTTCTAGCTTCAACACGGACATGCGTTTGACAGGACCACATCACCCTTCGAAAAGTATCCATGCTTCCTAATTTTGTCACAAAGTACTTAATTTTTTATGAATAATACAATAATTACATTTATATTTCTGATTTATGAAACATAATTATTTACAACTAACATGTCCGTGTTCTACTTTTTTTTTTTGGAATATCATGTTTGTGCATCCGTTTCGTGTTTTATCCATGTCCCGTGTTCGTATCCATGCTTGTTAACTTGGGAAAATTTGGGTTTTGATACTAGAAAATCATCTGATGAGGAGAACTGGCAATAGTATCTATCCTAGTAAATGTGCAAAGAAACATTCCAATGGGACATTTGATCGTAGACTTCTGTCCACTGGGAAGTGTCATTTTCATTTTAGTGACAGAAAAAAAAAGAAGATAAAGGCCTGGTCGGAAACAACAGAACAAAAGAAATATAAAGGAAGGACTCACCTCAATTTGCTCTTTACTTGCAACTGATTCCCAATCCTTTGCTGCAATTCCAGTTTTCCACTCGAGGTTGATACTTATATCTCCACCTCCTTGATTATGGCCATCCACCCAGAAACATGCCAGGTAGTTGCCAGCCTCATCAGTTGTAAATGCAAATTTGCCATGTGTAGAATTTCCCGTGCGATGAAGGGTGTTTCCATATGGTGATGTTACCTGAAAGTAACACTAACCATTGATTCACAAATTTCAAGCAAAACGGAAATAAGTTCGATCATGAGCCATATGTGATATAAGCAATGCATTAAAAGGGAAAGAGAGGTATTACTACAATATGAAAGCAGCTTTTTATTCTATCAGGCTTATCTTTTAAATTTATAACCTTATAGTAGAACTACATCTGTTTTGTTTACAAAAGAAATTTGCAGAACAAAATGCACACGAGGTTGGGCATTGAGACATATACACCAGCATTTATGCCACCACCTAGAGTCCTAGACCAACAAACATTTCACTGTTTGTATATTGGGTTAATTGCATTAGAGGTCTTCAAAGTATAGAGTTTGTTTCATTTTGATTTTCAATATATTAATTGCATCATTTTAGTCTATGAAGTATTGAATATATTTTTATGTAGTCTCTCAAGCAGATAACATTCAAATTACTAACGATTTTTTATTATAAACATGTCACGTAATACCTAAATATGAACAAAAAATAATTTGCGTAGTTCTTGACCGAAATTTGGGTAGCTTTTCACAAAAAAAACATGTGTAATATGGGTAGCTATTGACAAAATTTTGGATAGCTCACAATCAAAAGTGTGTAATTTGGGAAGCTTTTTGACCAAAATTTGGGTAAAAATTTGGTCAAGAGCTATCCAAATTATTTTTTTGCTCAAATTTAGATATTACGTGAACAAGTTTATAATAAAAAACCGTTAGCAATCTGGACACTGTTAGTTTGAAGAACAATATAAAAATATATTCAATACTTCAAGTACTAAAATGATGCAATTAAAATATTGAAAACCAAAATGAGACAAATCTCATATACAATTAACCCTTATATATTTGTTGTTATTGGAAATATTGTCAGTAGAGGAACAAACCATTCGTCCAAAAAGAATGGCATACCAAGGGAAAAAAAAAGAAAGAAGAGAAAACTAAAAGAAGAACCCAAATCTGCACATCAGTAAGCTTGCTCTGTTCTAAGAAGTATTAGAGGCAGATGACACCCCTAACAGCCATCCATCCCACCCCCAGATTGCCTGGTTTAAGAATTCAACAGAATGGATTCAATGGAAGCCTTATGAAGAAACAACATCCTCTTCGACTTGCGTATGCAATGAAAACTATAAGGGACAGACTATTGTTTTGACCCATACTAATGGCAGCAGAACAAGCACCTCCAACTACCATTTGGTACAACTCTTTGGACTTCATTCTCTTATGCCCAAAACCAACCTAATAATCACCACTTTTCTCATTTCCCAATGTCAGGCAATTCAAATAAAACACAAAAAAAGATTAAAATCACCTGCTATAGTCAAATCTAACTTCATTCCCACTTACTTATATGATAACTAAAAGATTGAAAAATCTGCATATCTCTCTTAATAAACAACATTAACAATTTTTTATTTTTAAAAAATTATCTATCGTCTCACTATGGTGTATCTATAAAGTAAACGTGATTAATTAAAGAATAAGAATCAACATTTAACTAGATTGTTTACTTAGAAGTATTTGATGATAAGATCCTAGAGTAATTAACTCATTTATACTCTTTAAATTGTGATAATATATAACACTTGGAAAATACCCGTATGTCTTCAAAGTCATGGACTTTTGTTGATGTATTTGCATTGTATATAAAATTAAAAGTAAAAGGTAAAGATTACAACTAAAAATTACACATACTTTTTTGCGTATAGAAGTATCCGCAAAATATTTATATTGGTGTATATCCTCTATGAATCATCGAGTATCATATCCAATATGGATACGTCGACCTTAACGAAGTATCCGTGTTTCATAGTCGAAAACTAACTGTCCTAGTAATTACACCACCGTTTTATTGAGATTCCCAATACAATTGTACATTATCTGGAAAAAAAAAACATTAGCAAAAGTTTATACTTTCCAATTTCTATAATAAAGAGAAAAATTAACATTTCATTATAACTCTATGCCTAACTTTTCTTCCATGTTGATAAACGAGTTTGCACAGGCTAGATTTCAATTCAATTTTTTGTTAAATGGTCTCAACTCAAGTATCAAGCATTCAAGCCCAATCCTTAAATTATGCCCAGCTTATTTGCAGCGAAAATAAACCATAATAGCAGGAGAAAGCCAAAGCATATCAAGTGCTCACGTTATCATCGGTGTCACCAATCTAAACACATAACACTATTAGATCCCACAAAATTCTATAATCATTAATAATTCCACATTCAGTAACAACCATGAAGATTAGTGGGTTCCTTTTAAGGTCCCATCACCTGACAGTTAAGACGTAATATTTGTCCTTTCGGAGACATCCGATAAAATTAGAACGATAGCGAAGATTAGCATGCCCCTGCGCACAAATTGAGAAATGGTCTATGGCGTAATGTTATTATTATATTATATATTTACTCAAATCTCAAGAAACAAGCAGGCCGATTAATAGCAATATAAACATTTAAATTAGAGGCAATTGTGAAATAAGAGAAAATGGGATGAAAATCAAAATTTAAAACCCTCAAAAAGATACCTTGGTTGAAATGGTTGGGGTGGGGTGAGAGTGATCATCGGAAATGACGATGTAATCCGCCAAAACGACGACGTTGTTATGGATTTCCTCGGTGACGCACTTCATTCTCGTCGCCGGCAAAGTCAACCATATCGCCTGACCAGAATGTAATAGATTGCTCGTCGAGCATAGAATGAACAGCGGCAACAACACCCCAGTGCGCAACTTAGCACTTGCCCCCATTCCTTCTCCTCCTCCTCCTCTCTCTCTCTCTCTCTCTCTCTCTCTCTATATATATATATATATATATATATACAAATGTATATTTTCACTTGTTTCTATCGAATTTTGAATCTTGTCTGGGCCTACCAGATCAGAAAAGAACAGAACTTCTCTATCTCTCGAAAATATTCATTCTTTCTCCCGTAAATATTACAGAAAATATTCTTTCTATCGATTACACCATATCATCTCGTCGATATAGTATGACCATTTAAGATAGGATAATGAGTGAGCAAGAAGATCACATGAATAGTTATTACATAAAATTGATGGATATTTATTTAATTTTGTGGTTCCATTTGTGCACTTGTTATTCTGTTGTCATTGGATGATTACACCGTCCATTGGATGATTACACTGTCTCAGTAAGCTGACATGGTATAATCATTGCAATGAATATTATTTTCTAAACATTAGGTGTAATTACGTTACACCAATAATATTATGTGTAGTAATTGTCTATTAATAGATAAATAAATTAGTAAATGAACCCCATTACAACTCATAATTGCGCAGTAATGTCATATATAACCACCTTCATAATAGATAGTGAGTCATATTTTATCAATTTTGTTATTTTTTTATTAGATTGTTACACCATGTCAGCAATGTTGATGTGATGTAACCCTCTAATAAAAACCTACAAAATGATTCATTTCTTATTATAAAAGTGGTTATGTATTACATAAGTGAGTAGTCATTAATTTTTGTGGGATTCACTTGTAGACTTGTTTACGTATTAGTTGATGGTTACACCACATAACATTGTTAATCTAGTGTACACCTAATATTTCGTTTTGCCTTTTTCATGGAGGGAAATCCTATGCTACCGTACCGAAAATTATAATTTTGTAAAATTAAGTTACAACTTTTTTGAGTTGTAAGTTATAACTTTTAAATAGCATGATCAATCATGAAAAATTATTCGATACCAAAAATTCATGATCGATCATAGGTGTCTATAATCAATCATGATATTTCCTTTTATAACTTCTTCTTTAAAAGATATAACTTTACCATAAAAAATTATAATCAGTGGTACAATACTGATTTTTTTTTTGGTACATAGACTTCCCCTTCTTAGGAATATAAATTGTTGTAATGTCCTTGATTGTGTAATTGTAAGCATGAAAATTAATTTATCCTTAACAACATAAATAACTATATTATATTCTGGACAATGACAACGATACAGTAACAATACCAATGAAATAATAATAATAACATAGGACAGTGATATTGAGACCACAACAATTATAACAATCGGGGATTTTTATTGTTATTGTTGCACGTTATTTTTTTGGGTTATCAAGGACAATTGTAGTCATAATTACTATTATACCCTTAATGATATGATTAGTGATATTACAAAATAGACAATGACAGAATCATAGTCACAATAACAATTATGTAGTGACAGTGACACAGTAACGATGTCATTGTCCAAATTTCACTGAAGTAGATACTGATAGTGAAAATAATAGTAAAAATGAATTTATATTTTTGCTTAATCATTGTTCTAGAGGCACTCGTTCAAAAAGTTGGTTAATCATTGTGACCAAACTGACACTGTCATTGTCAAACAAAATCATCAGTCATCTTCATCGACGGGTCATTCTACAATACTGAATTTTGCTTTTCAGTACGGTACCGAAATTCAATTTGGGCCATTGATGTAATATTTCTACTTTTGTCACTATTGATTAGTTTAAAAAGTGGGATATCGGTTACCTTATAAACCATATAAACCAGTAATGGAAAAGGAGTAAAATTTGACAAATAACCTTATACCAAAAAGGTGATAACACACCTAAAAAATGTGGTAAATTCACTTTTAAAAGTGTAACTCCCACATAAGTGAGAATCCATCCAAAAAATTAATACACAATTAATTAAAATTGAAACCTGACCCAAAAAGTATAAACTAATGCAAAAAAATTATAACTCAATTAAAAAAAGTTGAAACTTCAGCCCAAAAATTATAAACTAATCCATAAAAGTTGAAACTCTAAAAAAATATAATCCAATCCTAATAGTTAAATCTAATCCAAAAAGTTATAACTTAATCCAAAATAGTTGAAATTTCACCATAAAAGTTAAAACCCCTCTCCCAATAGTTAGGACCCACCTCAAAAAGTTATAACTCAATTCAAAAAAGGTGAAACCTCAACCAAAAAGTATAAACTAATGCATAAAAATTGAAACTCTATCCCAAAAGTTAAACTTCACCCCAAAAGCTTAGAACCCAATCCAAAATAGTTGGAAATCTCACCAAATAGTTGTAATCTAGCTAATCCGAGTCACCCCAAAAATTAGAACTCAATTCAAAAAAGTTATACCCCTATCCAAAGAATTGGCATCCCTCCCCCAATTGTTAGAGCTCATTCCAAAAAATTATAATTTAATTCAAAAAAGTTGAAATCTCAGCCAAAAAATATAAACTAATGCATAAAAGTTGAAATTCTATCCCCAAAAAATTAGAACCCCACCAAAAAAAATATATATAATCCAATCCTAAAAGGTTAAATATTATCCCAAAATCTTATAAACCAATCAAAAATAGTTGAAATCTCACCAAAATAGTTGTAATCTAAGCTAATCCGAGTCACTTCAAAAATTGGAACCCAATCCAAATAAGTTATATCCTTACCTAAAGAGTTAGAACCCTTCCCCTAACAGTTAGAACTCACTCACAAAAAGTTATAACTTAATTCAAAAAAGTTAAAACATAAGCTCTAAAATTATAAACTATTGCATAAAAGTTGAAACTCTATCTCCAAAAAGTTAAAACACATTCCAAAAAATTGAAACTCTATCCCCAAAAATTTAGAACCCACCCCAAAATAATATAATCCAATCCTAAAAAGTTAAATCTAACCCCAAAAGTTATAACTCAATCCAAAATAGTTGAAATCTCATCAAAAAAGTTGGAACCGCACCTTCAACAGTTAGAACCCACCCAAAAAAGTTATAACTCAATTCAAAAAAGTTGATAACTCAGCCAAATATATAAACTAATGCCTAAAAATTGAAACTCAATTCCCCAAAAGTTAAAACCCACCCCAAAAAAGTATAATTCAATCCTAAAAAGTTAAATCTAACCCCAAAAGTTATAACCCAACCCAAAATAGTTGAAAATCTCACAAAAAAATTGTAATCTAGCTAATCCGAGTAACCCCAAAAATTGGAACCCAATTTAAAAAAGTTATACTCCTACCCAAAGAGTTGGAACCCCTCCCCCAACAGTTAGAACTCACCTCAAAAAGTTATAACTCAATTAAAAAATTGAAGCCTCAGCCAAAAATATAAACTAATGTATAAAAATTAAAACTTTGTACCAAAAAGTTAGAACCATAGCAAAAAAATATAATTCAATCCTAAAAAATTAAACCTCATCCCAAAAGCTTATAACCCAATCCAAAATAGTTGAAATCTCACCAAAAATATATGTAATCTAGCTAATCTGAGTCACCCCAAAAATTGGAACCCAATCCAAAAAAATTATACCCCTACCCAAAGAGTTGAAACCATTATTTACAATTTTTTTTATTTGGTGAGCAGTCTTATTATTTGATTTTATTCGTTTTTAGGATTGGCGAGGTAGTATTTATTTATTTGTTGTTAATAACACTTTTATCAAAAAAGTGGGACTATTTAAAAAAGTGGGACCATCTGTCTCTGGTGGATTTGGATCATATGAATTAGTCTGCCCCAAACTCTTTTTTAATGTGTATTCATCAAATGGAGTCATAATGTGTATTCATCAAATGGAGTCATAGGAGACTTATAAGTGTCGGTTGGGTGAATGAAAACTCCATAATACATCATGATCTTGGAAATTAAGATGGAAAATGAGAGACTTTTTCGTTTATCTTCGAGTCTAAATGCCAAAAAAATTTCATTAAATATTACACAAGGGAGATCTATACTTACCCCATTCCCAATGGCATAAAGGAGATGAGCTCTATCAATTTCAAAATTAGAATTGTGTCTTCTCGGATTAATATTACATCCCACTATACGGTTTAAAATCTTATAATTGGGAGTGAGACATCTTTGATAAAATGTATCTATTTTCACCGTAATAGGTGTACCATAAAACTCTGTAGCAACATTCTTGACCGTAGGTTTATCATTGAAATTCTTATACGGGTATGTAACCGTATTCTCACCAATGAAGGGTGAGAGAACCTTTAATATCTTTGAAATCAAATTTGGGTTCACTTCAAAATGTACATTCCTCGTATAAGATTTAAACTTGAGATCTTCCTACTCAATATTATGCATATTTGCATAAAATATCCTAACTAATCTATCATAAGTTTTATCGTTCTTGTCTATTTCAACTATAGAATTTTAATGTTGAAAAGCAAAAATAATAGCACAGTTCACATTTGTCATCTTATCCAGTTAAGCACCACGCTCTAGTAACACGGGCTTATGGCAAAAACGAGTATGATAAAACTCTTCACTAATTCTGTTGAAGAAAGGATTTATTGGAATAAATGAACTTACCAAATTTGGTTGGATGAACTTACCAAATTTGGAAGATATTAGGAGTGATCAACATTTTTATTTATTTTTGGATCAGAGGGATTAACTGACTTTGGACAACTGGAGGAATGGACTACATTTGGAGGTTTTGGACAATTGGAGTGATCGCCAACCTGTTTATTCTTCATTTGTCCAATTTTACGATAACAAGTGTTATCCACTTTTGGCCGATACTTTCCCTCAGCCTTCCTCTTCTTCTTTGTTTCCATCAAAATTTATGTTGAATTTTGTTGTGTGTATCTCCGTTGTTCTGATACATTACTAGAAAAAAGGACATATCCAATCAAACATAATAAATCTACACATATGGTATTAGAACAACGGAGAAAAGGGACATACCCAATGAAACATGATAAATCTACACATATGGTATTCATACGAGAAAATAAATATGGAACAGTTCATGTCCTCACACACGTAC